GGGAGGAGGGTGTGCAGCAGGTGTGGATCCTTGCAGGATGTGGTAGGAAGTGTTATTTTTAACCCAGGTGCAATGGGAAGGCACGGATTGAATTTTAACCCTCGAGAATGACATTGATGGGATTTAAACTTGTATTTTTAAAGTTTAACCCTGCCTTTCCTGTGGAGAAAAATTTGAAAGAAACAAAGTCGAAGTGATGCGGTTTCTAACAGACAATTTCATAAATTCATGCCAGGCACAATGGTATCTTGAACCAGGCTGTTTGGAGCAGAGCCAGAGAAAAGAGAGGGCAGGCAAACACAGATGTATTTTAGAAACAGAAATGAAATAAATTGCTAATAATTTGGGTATGACATGGAATGGAGAAAATGGAAGGATTATTCCAGGTTTTTAGCCTGCATGCATGACTAAGTGGTGGCACTATTCATTTCGACAGAAAAGACTGACATAAACAGGTTGAGGAAGGTGGTAGTAGAGAGATCAGGATTGACATATGATAATTTAGCAATTCCCAGAAGCCTCTAGATATACAAGAAACAAGTTTGGGTTGAAAATACGAATGTTGGCGTCATCAGCAAAGAAATGGCATTTGGAGTCAAGGGAAAAAATGAAATCCTCTAGATAGAGAATTGAGAAGAATAAAAGAAGTAGAGCCAGCACTGAGCCCCGGAGAACTTAACCCTGGAGAAGGAGAAAACTGCCAAGGAGACCAGGAAGAAAACGGTTAACGGGGAAAAGGGAAAGGAGGAAAGCCAACGGTGTGCCATCTTGGTGCAAAAACCAAGAAAGAAAAGGGTTTTAAGAAGGTCAAGTGTGTTGACTGCTGCTGAGGTTGAATAGGATGAAGACAGAACATCGGTGGATTTGGCAAGACAAGAACCCATCCAAGGCATCTCAAAATTAACCTGTGGAAAACTGAACTTGAACTCTTCCCCTGGAGAGGCTCAGTGTGTTCCTCTTGGAGAAAAGTGTTCCTTTTCAGTTCCTCAGGCCAAAATCTTGGTGTCACCCCTGACTCCTCTTTCTTTCAGTTCCTGCCTCCAACCCACCAGCAAATCCTGTTGGCTCTAGCTTCAAAATACACCCACAATCTGCCCATGTCTCGCTACCTCTCTATCTATCATGCTAGTATATCTACCCCCCCAGATTATTATAGAAGCCTCCTAAATGAGCTTCCCCATTCCAGTCCTCCCTCCCCACAGGAAGATTTTCAATACAGCAGCTGGAGTGATCCTTTTCAAGGATATGTACTCAGAGGACAAGCCGAAGATCCTGTGAGGAGACCTGTCCCCACGTACCCAGCCTCCACCCTCCCCTTCCTGCCGTCACCCAGGCTCCTTCCGACCATCCTCCTGAGTCTTGGGCTCCGGCCACACTAGCCTCCTTGCTTTTGCACGTGCAGCTCTCTGCCTGGGACGTCTTTCTCTACGTATCACACGGCTCACTCTCCAACTCTCAGAGCTTGGCTTATCTTCCCAGGGAGGAGCCCCCTACCCCTATTTTAAGTTGTTTCCTCCAACCCCCTCCTCTGCTTTATATTTTTAGAGCACTTATAACCATTTGACTTATTATATATTTTACGTATCTGTTTGTTTAGGGACTGTATCTCTCCTGTCTTGCCAATCTTTGATGTTCATCTTTCTTTCCCCGGTATCTAAAACAGTGCCTGGCATTCAAGAAATACTTGTTGACCTGACAAATAAGGGGCAGGAACCATGGACGAGGAGAGAATGGGAGGTGGGGAAGCGCCATCAGTAGGCGGTGAACAGATGCTGGGAAAGGCAGCAAAAAAAAAAATGGTACAATAACTACAAGGGGTATGAGATCAAAGGAGGGACTAAGTTTTCTAATGGGATATATGGGTAATTTATACTGATCCTATATCCTATACTAAAAGACTAGCTTATAACCCTATGCTTGAGAGCTAATATATATCTTCACTAATGAGATTAATCTGAGGATCATAAGATTAATTAATCAGAATAGACAACATAAGGGAAAATTATCTTCAATGTGCCATTTATTAGATAATAAACAGCCCTTCCTGCAAGGGACTTAGAGTCCAGTAATAGTCATCTAAAGTGTGATGATGATTCATTCAAAAATGATTTCACAGTAGTGCAATTATACATGCGAACACCTTTTTTTCTGAACTGGAATATTACCTGCTCGCAGGTAATAAATTCAAATTCAGGCAGTAAATTCAAATCCTATCCCCAAGGTAAACGGAAGCTTAGAGAAGTTAAGTAATTTGCTGGCGTTGAAACTCATGTGTCTTTGCCAATAGTCTACGTTAAACATGTGTTAATATTCACACCAGAATACACGCTTTATGTCTATTCTTTCTATAAAAATCAGGAAAAAAAACCCTTTTCTAACTTGGTCCTTCATAATAAAATCCTACAATAAATGTTGGAAGGGATGTAAGAGATACTACACATATGGGTCAGAAGCCTGGGAATTAGCAGGAGTAAATGAGCAGAGACAATGCAAACAAATGGATGAATTGAACCAATGCTACACTCACATAAATAAATATGAGATCACCTAACAAATTAAGTGCCAAGGTCCAGGACTGGGAAAAAGCCAGGCTTCTTATTTTGTTTCTTTTCTCCCCCAAAGTCTTTGGACTATTTTCTATTAGCTTTCATCCAAGCTGTAAAAGGCAGAATCCTAAAGTGACCCCCAGGATTGCCACTCTGCATAATCCTCTGCTTCTGAGTGTGGGTGAGACCTATCAATATAATGGGGTATCAGTCCCTTGTTAAATGACAAAGGTGATGGGATGGCCACTCCCATCATTACAATTAGGAGACTAAAGGGATATTCTCCCTCTGGCTTTGAAGAAGCAAGCTGCCCTGTTGTGCTGGGGCCCTGTGGCTTACGACCTGGGGTGACCTCTAAGAGCTGAGAGGGACCCTGGCTGACAGCCAGCAAGAAAGGACCCCAGTCCTACAGCAGCAAGAAACTGAACTCTGCCAACAACCTTAATGAGTTTGAAAGACAACCCCAAGCTCCTGCCAACACCTCGATTTCAGCCTGATGAGACGAGCAGAGGGCCCAGCAAACCCAAGCCAGATGCCTGACCAAAAGAAACCGTGAGATAATAAATGGGCATTATGGCAAGATGGTAAATTTGTGGTAATTTGTTATAGCATAATAGAAAACTAAAACACAAGCCAATCTTCATCCCTTACACAGACACTTTGAGAGGTGACCTAACACGGCCATGACCTCACATCATCCCAGGGGATCATAATGGAAACAGAATTTTTCATTCTGAATTGTCCTAATTGTCCTGCTCTTTCAAACCTCCTTGCCTTTTCTCTTGGTATTATTCCCTGCTGAATTCCAATTCAGCCTTCCAAACCCAAGTCAAATGTTGCTTCTCCAAAGAAGTATTTCCTTATAGCCATGCCCATCCACTCCCAAGCACAACAAATTAATTACTCCTATTCTTTGCTTCCATGATAGCAGCTTGTCTGGACATCTCCCCAAAACCCTGCCATGCAGGTGCATTGTGGTAACCTTTCTTTTAGGACACAGCTGCCCCAGTCCCTGCACCGGGGCTGGCGTGGAGTGGGTGCTAAATAATTGGATACCGAGTAAAGAAAATGAGGCTCTGGAAAAACACAAGCCTCGCATGCCCAGGGAGCTGCTATTTCCTTCCATACAGATGACCAGGCATCAGGTATTAACGGAAACTTGGAAAGCTTTCTCCATGACAACAGCTGGGTGGCTAATCAAGCACTTACTGCGCTAAAAGGGCAGATATTTACTGTCCAGAAAAAGCTGGTCTGAACTGGATAGGTGTGCTAGGAGCGACAGGTAGCAGGTGCCGGGAAGGACGGAGATTCTTCCTAAAGGGGTGGCATGATTCACTCTGATTTAAGCCCTGTGCTAGGTTTGCACGCTTGCTGATTCAAATTATCTGTTAATCCATTCCTGATATGCAATGCCAACCTAAACAGACAACAATCCCACAGAATTAGTTTTACTCAAAGGCTTGCAACCGTGGGTAACAAGACAGAAATGAGAGTCATTTTTCGCCCACATCCATGGCATTTACAGGCCTCCAGGGCAGATAGCATTTTTAGGAAATCACAGACTCAGGCAAAATGATGCATCATCAATCCATACAGAATAGCATTTGCTGGTTATGTATTTTGACAAAACTCAGAAAGAATTCACATTTTTTCCTCGGAACCCCCTCACACGGGCAAAAGTCTGGAGTGCTCCCTTGCAGTTAACCTAAATTAACCATGCTACTGCTATAGGACTCCCCCTCACTGGAGAAAGAGATTGTTTCAGAATCAGAGAGGATACAAAGCAAGGCATGGAAATAAGGCACCTGCTTGTCACCAACTCCTAAGAACTAGATGCAGATTCTCTCTATAGGTAAATCATTAAACAACAAAGTACTGCTTTTTAATAGAAGTATTACAATGACATTGCCAGAAACTTCAAAAAGTTCTGGGGGGCAATGGTCTTGCCACACTAAAAGAATTTAATTAACATCTGTAATAATTAAAAATATTTCAAAAACGTTTTTTGACACAAACTCAATGTCAGTACCTCTTTCAGCTTCCTTTGCATTTAAACAACATCATCCCTAAGAATCAAGTCAGATCCTATAGGTCCTGCATTTTAAGGATTTTTTACAAATACTGGTTGGCAATGACTCAAAGAGGGAGCCAGCTGGGGACACAATTTCCTAATGATCAGTATGGGAGAAGACGCAGGGTCTGGGTTCTAATCTTTCTTTAGGGATAATGCTAGATGCTCCTTTATTCACTCAAATATTAATGTACCAGACTTTGTGCGAGGTGCTAGGGCTACAGCTGTGAGTTAGATAGATAAGGTCCCTGTTCTCTTGATACTTATATTCTTATGTGGAGGCATGCATGTATATACTGTGAAGAATAAGAAATGGGAAACGGAGGGAGGAAATAAAGTTTCTTCAGCATGTATTATTTTAAGTACCAGAATATAGTAAATACCTTCGATGCTCTGTGGGCCCACAAGATTCATGGCCTGGTGTGCTGGATACTCTACCCGTGGTCTGGCAATGCCCAACTGCTCCATAACGCCATGGAGCAGCCTCTGGATATCTGTTTCCGAGACCCGGTCAGGGCTCCTCGGGCTATACGCAGATGTTGGAGTCCATCCAAATGTCAGCCAAAACACTAGGCCAGAGAGCATGGTAGAAACCATCGCGGAGACCATTTTTCACCTGCAGAAAAAAGACCAAATATGTATCGACTGGCCACAATTGGTGACTGTGATGATCAATCACGCAAGTGAGTAATTCAAGGACCACCCACACAACGGGGGCTGCAATGAAAAGTCCTTAGGAGTTTGCTCTTGCCTTAAGTGTCCAGTCTAGGTAGAACACCTGCTGTGGAATGGTATTAAAGAAACGAAACAACCCAAGATAGCCAATTCCCTCTGCACATGGCAGCCTTGGGAAGACTAGCCAGGAATGGCCGTTCTCACTCCTTTTCTTCTCCTTGCAGCTCCCTGAAAGTGCTTCATTACCCCTAACCCCACCACCCTCTCCTCTCTTAGCAAAGCAAGCAAACCAACAAACAAGAACCGGCTTCAATTTAGAGAGAGGGAGAGGGTCATCAGGAGTTTTCCCAGTCTCGGGGGAAAAAGGAGGTTCTGAGGAAGGAGTCAGGAAGACAAATGGTAAAGAAGCACAGAAAGGTTAGGAGCAGTGGAAGGGAACATCTTAGCTCAGCAGACATCCAATACGTGTGAGATCTTGAAGGGGATGAAAATACAGCCAGCTCAGGCCTGCTCTGCAATCTGGTAGGAGAGAAGAGGCAAGCTTGCTCAGCCACATACTGGCTGAGTGATCCTGGGCAAATGCCTCTGCTTCGTCTGCAAAACGGGCATGAAGAAAGCATCTGTGTTATAGGGTTGTGGTGAGCATCAGCACAATGCCAGGCAGAGCCCCCATACTGTCAATATGATGCTGGCAATATTGTCTCATGGTTCTAGAGGTTAGAACTTGAAGACATGGTCATGATGAGAGGAGAGGGAGAAAACTGCTCCGGGGAGTCAACCCGTCTTAAATGTTGGCTTCTCTGGAACCAGAAGCCTGCAGAACAAGGGGACAAATATTCATGCAGCTTCCCTCTGCAGCTGCTGAACCTGTTTAAGACCGACGCTTCAGGCAATGGCTGTGCAAACCCTCCTTTTGACCATTCTTCTATGGAGGGGACTGGGGGATTCATTTTCTTCCTTGAAACTGCAATATTCATAACCCCCATTTTTTTCCTCTGCAAAGGCAAGGCTTTTTCCAAGCCACCCCTAGATATGAAACCTTGTTCCCCAAATTGCTGAGACAGAAAAGCCTGCGATTCTGACGTAAAAGGCCGGAGGCAGACACCAACCTCTCCAGCCATCTCCATCTTCCCCTGGCCTGCTGTGAATGCAGGATGTCTTTGTTTCGTTTAAACCCCTGGCCAACACCGTTCTGATTTGATGAGCTACCCAATTTCCTCCCTCGATACTCTTTCCCTCGTATTCATAACCGAACCTTCTAATCCCCACCCATTCTTTGTCTGCCCCCAGCCTCCAGCTCAAGGATTTCAGCAGGACGCCCCCTCCCCTCCCCAACCTGTAAAACCCGCGCGTCTCGGGTGGGCTTCAGGGGGTCCAGCAGGCATCAACGCAGGACTCACCGATGGGCAGCGGGAGGATTCTGCTGCGGTCTGGGCCTGGGCGGGGGTCGAGCTGCGGGCCGGGTGAGCCGTATCGCGCGTGCGTCACCTCCCTCCTCATCTTAGCTCCGCCCCCACCGCTCCTCCAGCAGGTGGAGGCCGCCGGGCTCCGAGGCCCTAGAGCGCGACCCAGATGCTAGCTTCTCCTGCCCTGAGCCACGCAGGGTTCAACCCACGCATTCCACGTACACATGTCCTGGAGACTTTTATCTATCGACCCTTGCGGAAGTAATTCACCTTTTCTCAACCAATTATCTAAACAATGTGTCAGCTCGCCACTTTTGCCCTTCACCAATGCCACATCTTTAATTTTGCCACTTCCCATCTTTTTTTTTTTTTTTTTAAGTCTTCTAGGTTGAAGAAGGGGCAGTGATAGGAGAGATGAAGAGGTCCTAAGAACTTTTAATGATGGTGTACCCATCATAAAGGTGTTTCAGGAGCCCTTTCACTGAGCAGGAAAACTATGGGGATTTTGAATACGAGATTTTAGAAACTTCTGTTAGAAGCGATACACCAAAAACGCATGAAAACCTCTAGGAACATTAGTTCTGAGTGTTATTTCTAAACTTCCAGACCAACTATCAAGATTTCTTTAGCCTGAAGAGAAATTGAACTTCCTGCGCATTGCAGAAATTTATCCAGGTAGACCCAGAATTTTTTGTTGAAGACTTATGGAACAATCTTGAACATGTGAATTTAGTCCAAATACAAAGTTGAGATGTAAAACCATAAAATAATTTCTTTCAAAACTGGGGATGAGTACAAGGACCCTGGGGGCCAGAGAATAACTATCTTGATGAGGCTAGAATCCAGATCTCTTTACCCTAGCTCTATGCTGCAAATCCATGCTCAGCTGTAGCATCTTATGCAAATTAGAGGGGCCCACAAAACTCATTCCCAAGACACATGGCCTTTTGGTTTAAAGCCAAGCCCCCTTCCTAGTGTCTTTGCTTCCATGGATGCTCGTTTCCAGCTTTTTGTTTCAGTGCATGCAAATCAACAGGACAAATGCGGACTATTATTGGTTTTAGGCTCAAAGACCATGCTGGGATTTAATATTATTTACACATACTGAAGTTTTTCAATTCAGAATTTTATCTTAATTGTTTACTGTTAACTTCATTTTGTGCTTGGAAAAATGGAGAAGCCATTACAATTTACAGCTTTTGTGTTTAATGGAAATTATACACCAAAAGGTTTGCTTCATATGATATTTGGTATTTTAAAAACATATATATCCTGGACTTGATGATGATCAAACACCAATATTAAATTCTAAGTGATTATAAAATGTTGCCAGCCTAATTTAAGTCCTTTTTTTGTTGCTCATGGTAAACAAATTTGTATGAGATCTTTATTTACACTTGCAAAAACAAAGTGAAAGTAATCCCTTAAGTTAGTGACTATGTACCATAATTGTAACTGTGTTAAGTACATTCACCTATCACTTGACCAGATATTCTCATGAGCAATATTATCTCCATTTTATATAAAATAAAGAGATTAATTCTAAAATTTAACTTTCCTGACTGTCCAAGCTACTCACCTTCATAGTCCTCCTATACTGTTAGCTTTCAGCTAACAAAAGTGGGAATGACTTGTGGGTGGTTTTTTAAATTTATTTTTAATATTTTATTTATTTATTTGTCAGAGAGAAAGAGCAAGCACAAGCAGGGGGAGCGGCAGGCAGAGGGAGCAGGTTCCCTGCTGTGCAAGGAGCTCGATGTGGGACTCAGTCCCAGCACCCTGGATCACAACCCGAGCTGAAGGCAGACGCTTAACTGACTGAGCCACCCAGGCATCCCAGGGTAGTTTTTTGCTTTTGTTTAAGATTTTATTTATTTATTTGACAAAGAGAGACACAGCGAGAGGGAACACAAGCAGAGGGAGTGGGAGAGAGAGAAGCAGGCTTCCCGCTGAGCAGGGAGCCCGATGCGGGGCTTGATCCCAGGACCCTGGGATCATGACCTGAGCTGAAGGCAGACACCTAACCATCTGAGCCACCCAAGCGCCCGTTTGTTTTTTTTTTAATGAATATCTTTCATTATTATCAATCTCAGAAAAGCCACTAATTCAGGTAATTGTACAGTTAATCTCCTGTGCTTTCTTACTGGACTTCACCCATACCCATGGGTATAAAATAACATTAGTACATTTTTAAAAGTTTATCCAGAGCGGAGGTGAAGTTTAAACAATTGCTTTGAATCAGACACCATATATTTCAGAGTTTATGAGGGTTTTCTATCTCCACTTACTATCAGAAATATCATAAACACCTGAAATGCATATCCAGTTTATATCACAAACCTGTTTTGATGTCATAAAACATGGTATTTATCTACAGGTTTTCAGTCTTTATATAAGTCAAATTCATACTAGTAGTGAGGGGGCACCTGGGTGGTTCAGTCATTAAGCGTCTGCCTTCAGCTCAGGTCATGATCCCAGGGTCCTGGGATAGAGCCCCACATCAGGCTCCCTGCTCTGCGGGAGGCCTGCTTCCCCTGCTTGTGTTCCTGCTCTTGCTATCTCTCTGTCAAATAAATAAACTCTTTAAAAAAAAAAAAAAATTCTTACTAGTAACGAGAAAGGGTTGATTCCTAGGTAATACAGAAATAGGAAATAGCTTTGAAATAAAACAGATGTATTGCTATCAAGTAGAACTTGGTAAAGCAGACACATCTGATGACTTTAAATTTCTCTGTAAATATGGGCTGCTCTGAGTAGATGTGCAATGCTGTTCTATTCTGCTCCACTATCTGAATGTGGCGTTCTAATAACTGACCTACAAAACTATCTGTAGTGGTTCATTCTGCCTACAACATTCCTTCCTCTAAAACCTCGAGAATATCCACCATTGTTGACATTATTCTTTCCTTAAGCACTTGTAACTTTTAATAATTTAAAATATAAATTTAGAAAGATTTGCTTGACAATTTGGGTCAAATTCTAAAAGGTACTTTGAATTTCATCAGAGATTCAGACAAGTCATTTTCCAGAAGGTTACCTTTAATGTCTATGCTAAATAAATAACATTTACACACCAGACAAAACCATCGTAGGCTTTTATAAGAATCAAAAGTTAAGAATCCAAGTTAAATGTACAGAGGTACATCAACTATTTTAAATTATAAAATCAAGTGTGTGCATATTAAGAAATCACCTTGATTAAAAATTTCCAAGCTTAATTATTCCTCCTTAAATAATTTTAAATTCTATATCAGACAAAACAGCTACAAATGTATTTGTGCAAATTAACTTTAAAAACATAGTATGGCTCAAAAGTCCTCAATTATTTCTGCAGCATCATTCTTTAAGAGCACACTTGAGTCATTATTCTGCTTTAGCCGTAATTCTTAGTCCCAGTGAACATACCGTACACAACTATAGACAATATAAACTTAATTACTTTGCCCCAAATAGGAGTAAAGGATTAAGATGCTACTGAAACAAGTTAATTTTTAGGGATTTTGGCAAAAGCCATAAATATCAATGTAATTAAAGAAATAAGATTTGTAAGGCTTATCTCTTCCCTCTACATATAAGAAATTTCTTGTAGAAACCTGACTTAGGAGGAATAACAGGAAATAGACAACTCGTTCCACTCTTCCTATCACACTTAATATAAAATTCATACAATTTTCAAAAATTAATTTCTCACAAACCCAGCCAATTTCTTTCAAAAAGTGTAACCTCTGCTTTAAGAGATCACAAGTTTAAATACTGCCATAATTAAGAAAAACAAAATAGTCATTTATACAAGCATAATTCAAGTTGCTTGTGCAGTGAAATTAAAATCTATCACTTCATCTTCCTGAGCTAACGAACTAACATGCAGATTATCCTGCCAGTCCTATCACCAACCGCTAATTTTATTTACATTAACAAGTATTAACATTTATCAATTACAAGTCTACAGGTTTACTCGTTGGTAGTAGCTGAGCTTTGCCAATAGGATTTTTTGGAGAACCTTTATACCAGACCCTTTCTTTTTCTGACGGTTTCCTAAGGACTCTGGTATTTATCCTAGGAGAAAAGCCCATATTATTATTTACAACAGATTTAAATACGTCATGATTTGTCAGGTCATCCAAGGGAACCTTAATTTGGCCATCAGATACTACTTCCTGTTTACAAATTCTGGTAGACCCAAGAGAAGCATTCTTGGAGTCTGGGTACCTCTTCATCCTTGAAAAAGACTTATAAGTTAACTCCATGCCTGATTTTGAAATTGCATCAACATTTGGCTGTTCACATGCTATAAACTTCTGTTCTTTAGGATCTGATTTGGTACATGAAATCAACGAATCTTTTGATGTACTTTCTATACCAGAGGAAAGAGCACTGTCACAGCTCACTGATTTCACCAGAGGAGAAGCTGCATCACCAAGACTTGCCAATTTGTGCCTTACAGGTTGTCTGCTGTACTCCAACAAGGAGTTAATCCTTCTGACAGACTGACGGACAGGTGTACGCTGAAACTTAAGAGGTGACCTGACTTTGGTCCTATTTGGTTCGTTGAGAGAAAGCTTGTTAAACCACTGTATGTGGTCTGACACCCTCCCGTGCTCTGTCATTTGTGAGCTTTTAGGGCCGGTTGTATGGCAGTTTCCCCCCAGTGACTGCTGCTGAATGATTCTCACAGGCCTCGGTTTTGGTAAGTTTGTTATATTACATGTAATCTGCTCTGAGGAAGAGAGGTCAGCTGCATCCTCCCTAGAACCTGCACATTTCAGTAAGAAGTTCTCTTCAATCATATTCTCATTCTCCTTTAACTGAGTATTTAGTTTATCCCTTGGGGACTGCTGTTTCTTTATGTGTTCATCACTAGGCAATTCTGGCCTGACTGAGTGATCTCTAGGTATATCTGAATGGATGCTTTTCTCATGTTCAATCTTCATATGAGCTGAGTAAAATGTTATAGTTGCTTCTCCATCTGATTTTTGAGTTTGATGTAGTGAGATGTCTTGTTCTGAAAAACTATTTTCATCTGTTTTAGTTTGATGTTCATCTGATTCTATCACAGTCAAATCACTAGTTTCAAATAGATTTTTCTCTGGGCTATATTC